ATAATCAAGTCGGGCTATTTCCTGCATAAATCCAGGTTTTCTCACATCCCCCCCACCCCCATACACACACAAACTCACTCTCCTGCTGGTAATAGCTCATCTAAACTGATCACTCTCCAAGTTTAAATCCAAGTTAAACCAGAACATCTGGGGGGGGGGGGTAGGAAAAAACAAGAGGAAACAGGCTACCTTGCATAATGACTTAGCCACTCCCAGTCTCTATTTAAGCCTAAATTAATAGTATCCAATTTGCAAATGAATTCCAATTCAGCAGTTTCTCGCTGGAGTCTGGATTTGAAGTTTTTTTGTTTTAAGATAGCGACCTTCATGTCTGTGATTGCGTGACCAGAGAGATTGAAGTGTTCTCCGACTGGTTTATGAATGTTATAATTCTTGACATCTGATTTGTGTCCATTTATTCTTTTACGTAGAGACTGTCCAGTTTGACCAATGTACATGGCAGAGGGGCATTGCTGGCACATGATGGCATATATCACATTGGTGGATGTGCAGGTGAACGAGCCTCTGATAGTGTGGCTGATGTTACTAGGCCCTGTGATGGTGTCCCCTGAATAGATATGTGGGCACAATTGGCAACGGGCTTTGTTGCAAGGATAAGTTCCTGGGTTAGTGGTTCTGTTGTGTGGTATGTGGTTGTTGGTGAGTATTTGCTTCAGGTTGCGGGGCTGTCTGTAGGCAAGGACTGGCCTGTCTCCCAAGACTTGTGAGAGTGTTGGGTCATCCTTTAGGATAGGTTGTAGATCCTTAATAATGCGTTGGAGGGGTTTTAGTTGGGGGCTGAAGGTGACCGCTAGTGGCGTTCTGTTATTTTCTTTGTTAGGCCTGTCCTGTAGTAGGTAACTTCTGGGAACTCTTCTGGCTCTATCAATCTGTTTCTTTACTTCTGCAGGTGGGTATTGTAGTTGTAAGAAAGCTTGACAGAGATCTTGTAGGTGTTTGTCTCTGTCTGAGGGGTTGGAGCAAATGCGGTTGTATCGCAGAGCTTGGCTGTAGACGATGGATCGTGTGGTGTGGTCAGGGTGAAAGCTGGAGGCATGCAGGTAGGAATAGCGGTCAGTAGGTTTCCGGTATAGGGTGGTGTTTATGTGGCCATTGTTTATTAGCACTGTAGTGTCCAGGAAGTGGATCTCTTGTGTGGACTGGACCAGGCTGAGGTTGGTGGTGGGATGGAAATTGTTGAAATCATGGTGGAATTCCTCAAGGGCTTCTTTTCCATGGGTCCAGATGATGAAGATGTCATCAATGTAGCGCAAGTAGAGTAGGGGCTTTAGGGGACGAGAGCTGAGGAAGCGTTGTTCTAAATCAGCCATAAAAATGTTGGCATACTGTGGGGCCATGCGGGTACCCATAGCAGTGCCGCTGATCTGAAAAAAGAAAAGGAGTACTTGTGGCACCTTAGAGACTAACCAATTTATTTGAGCATGAGCTTTCGTGAGCTACAGCTCACTTCATCAGATGTATACCGTGGAAACTGCAGCAGACTTTATATACACACAGAGATCATGAAACAATACCTCCTCCCACCCCACTGTCCTGCTGGTAATAGCTTATCTAAAGTGATCAACAGGTGGGCCATTTCCAGCACAAATCCAGGTTTTCTCACCCTCCACCCCCCCACACAAATTCACTCTCCTGCTGGTGCTAGCCCATCCAAAGTGACAACTCTTTACATAATCAAGTCGGGCTATTTCCTGCATAAATCCAGGTTTTCTCACATCCCCCCCACCCCCATACACACACAAACTCACTCTCCTGCTGGTAATAGCTCATCTAAACTGACCACTCTCCAAGTTTAAATCCAAGTTAAACCAGAACATCGGGGGGGGGGGGGGTAGGAAAAAACAAGAGGAAACAGGCTACCTTGCATAATGACTTAGCCACTCCCAGTCTCTATTTAAGCCTAAATTAATAGTATCCAATTTGCAAATGAATTCCAATTCAGCAGTTTCTTGCTGGAGTCTGGATTTGAAGTTTTTTTGTTTTAAGATAGCGACCTTCATGTCTGTGATTGCGTGACCAGAGAGATTGAAGTGTTCTCCGACTGGTTTATGAATGTTATAATTCTTGACATCTGATTTGTGTCCATTTATTCTTTTACGTAGAGACTGTCCAGTTTGACCAATGTACATGGCAGAGGGGCAGGACAGTGGGGTGGGAGGAGGTATTGTTTCATATTCTCTGTGTGTATATAAAGTCTGCTGCAGTTTCCACGGTATACATCTGATGAAGTGAGCTGTAGCTCACGAAAGCTCATGCTCAAATAAATTGGTTAGTCTCTAAGGTGCCACAAGTACTCCTTTTCTTTTTGCGAATACAGACTAACACGGCTGTTCCTCTGAAAGCTGATCTGAAGGTATACATTGTCCCCAAATGTGAAATAGTCAGCTTTCACCCTGACCACACCACACGATCCATCGTCTACAGCCAAGCTCTGCGATACAACCGCATTTGCTCCAACCCCTCAGACAGAGACAAACACCTACAAGATCTCTGTCAAGCTTTCTTACAACTACAATACCCACCTGCAGAAGTAAAGAAACAGATTGATAGAGCCAGAAGAGTTCCCAGAAGTTACCTACTACAGGACAGGCCTAACAAAGAAAATAACAGAACGCCACTAGCGGTCACCTTCAGCCCCCAACTAAAACCCCTCCAACGCATTATTAAGGATCTACAACCTATCCTAAAGGATGACCCAACACTCTCACAAGTCTTGGGAGACAGGCCAGTCCTTGCCTACAGACAGCCCCGCAACCTGAAGCAAATACTCACCAACAACCACATACCACACAACAGAACCACTAACCCAGGAACTTATCCTTGCAACAAAGCCCGTTGCCAATTGTGCCCACATATCTATTCAGGGGACACCATCACAGGGCCTAGTAACATCAGCCACACTATCAGAGGCTCGTTCACCTGCACATCCACCAATGTGATATATGCCATCATGTGCCAGCAATGCCCCTCTGCCATGTACATTGGTCAAACTGGACAGTCTCTACGTAAAAGAATAAATGGACACAAATCAGATGTCAAGAATTATAACATTCATAAACCAGTCGGAGAACACTTCAATCTCTCTGGTCACGCAATCACAGACATGAAGGTCGCTATCTTAAAACAAAAAAAAACTTCAAATCCAGACTCCAGCGAGAAACTGCTGAATTGGAATTCATTTGCAAATTGGATACTATTAATTTAGGCTTAAATAGAGACTGGGAGTGGCTAAGTCATTATGCAAGGTAGCCTGTTTCCTCTTGTTTTTTCCTACCCCCCCCCCCCCCCGATGTTCTGGTTTAACTTGGATTTAAACTTGGAGAGTGGTCAGTTTAGATGAGCTATTACCAGCAGGAGAGTGAGTTTGTGTGTGTATGGGGGTGGGGGGGATGTGAGAAAACCTGGATTTATGCAGGAAATAGCCCGACTTGATTATGTAAAGAGTTGTCACTTTGGATGGGCTAGCACCAGCAGGAGAGTGAATTTGTGTGGGGGGGTGGAGGGTGAGAAAACCTGGATTTGTGCTGGAAATGGCCTACCTGATGATCACTTTAGATAAGCTATTACCAGCAGGACAGTGGGGTGGGAGGAGGTATTGTTTCATGATCTCTGTGTGTATATAAAGTCTGCTGCAGTTTCCACGGTATACATCTGATGAAGTGAGCTGTAGCTCACGAAAGCTCATGCTCAAATAAATTGGTTAGTCTCTAAGGTGCCACAAGTACTCCTTTTCTTTTTGCGAATACAGACTAACACAGCTGTTACTCTGAAACCTATCTTCTTACTATACGTTCCATTCTATGAATCTGATGAAGTGAGCTGTAGCCCACGAAAGCTTATGCTCTAATAAATTTGTTAGTCTCTAAGGTGCCACAGGTACTCCTGTTCTTTTTGAAAATCTTTTAGCATATCTAGGGTGACCAAACATCCTGTTTTTAAAGGGACAGTTCCGTATTTCAGCCCTCTGACAGGTGTCCCGACTTTTTCTTAAAAATGGGCAAATTGTTGCATATTTTCTGTCTCCCCCTCATCTGTACTGGCGGGTCCTGCTGCTGGCCAGATCCCTCCTTGCCAGCTGCCTGCCAACCAGCGTTCAGTGGCCTACAATGCGGGTGGGTGTGCAAGGCTAATGGCAGGGAAAAGATGCAGGGTGCAGGGCTGGCCGCTCCTCCTGCTAGTCTGTTGGCGCAGTCCCTGCTGTGTGCTGTCTCTCAACCAGCAGGACTCTGCCCCCACATTTCCAGCTGGTACTGGCTGCGCAATGCAAGCTGCAGTGGCCAGTGAGTGTGGGCAGGTGCGAGGCGGTGGCCAGTTACATGTCGCTTCTGCTGCCCACCCATTGGCCCTTTACCTGCTCCCCTTCTTGCTCTCCTCTCCCTGCTTTGTCCCTTCACCCCTCCCCACCCAACCCCACTGCTCCTCCATATTCTGCCCCCCCCCCCTCGGTGGTCTGGCAGCTGGGTTATGTTGGAGGTGTTAGCTGGAGGTGTTAGCTGCCTTTCAACACCGTGCCAGCAGGAAGGGACAAGCTGCTTCCAGCCATGGAGGGGGTGAGGGAAGAGATGAGTTCTGCAAAGACATGGGCCAGGTCATCCTTTCCCCCTCCTGCTCCCCAGCATCTGGAAGCAGCTCCCGTCCCTTCCCTCCTGCTGAAAGGCTGCCACTGGCCACATTCTGGTGTGAACCCTGGCAAAAATCTGGGGAGGGGTGGCATGTGACCCTATGCGCTCCCCCTCCTGCGCCACATATTGCTTCAGGAAGATGTAGCTCCAGGTATGGATCTGTCCCGGGGCCCCAGCCAGGCCTGGAGGGCAGAGAGCAATGGGCAGGGAGGGTCAGGTTGGTCAGTCACCCTCCCTGTGTGAGAGAGGTGTACAAGAGTATGTTTGTGTTACCCCCTCCTCATGTGAACCCTAAAGCCTTAAAGATAAGAAAATAAATAAAAATAATCCAACTACGCAATATTCCTTTTTAACAGGGGCTCAGTCAACTTGATATTAATTTGAACGTTTGTACTGCATGGTTCTGATTGATTGCTGTTGAACTCGCTTGAATAATTTTACCAGGTGTCCTGTATTCATCATAGAGAAATATGGTAAGCCTAAGTATATCTATTCTCACAACACCCGCAAGAAATAGGGAAGTATTATTATCGCTATTTTACAGATGAGAACAGAGAGCAAAGTGACTTGTCCAAGGTCACACCAGAAGCCTGTGGTGGAGCAGGGAATTGAACACAAGCCTCTAAATCTTAGGCTAGCAGCCTAATGATTGAACCATCCTTTCTCTCTCCACCCTCCAAGATCCTTATTCCATTTTTATTACTGAAGAAAAGGAAGAATATTCTTCTCATTCCAGAACTAAAATGCCTGAGAACATTTTGTTTCAGGTTCTCATGGTCAGGGCATTTATATTCTTATCGAGTTAGGGTCCGATTTTCAAGAGAGCTCAGAGCCGAGGTTTCAGGTGCTCAGCTCACAGTTTTCAAAATAGCTCAACTCCCAGATAAGCACCTAAATAAAAAGCAGATTTCCCAAAGTGCTCAGCACCCAGCCACACCATTTGTGACACTTAGGGCCGGGTTTTCAAAAGAGCTCTGCTCCCACTGTACTGAGCTCTTTCTATAATCTGGCTGGTCACTCATTGAGATAGCCAAATTGGAACTGAGCCCATCTGCAGACTTGGGCCTAAATCAATATCTGGCAGAGTAGCAAGTTCTGAACAATCCACTTGGCACTTCATAATTATGTGTTTTTTTCAATCAGGCTGCTACAGTCCAATTACAGAGAGCAGTTGTCTGTGGCAAAGGTGTTCCAACAGCCTGGGATGGGGAGCCAGCATTTTGCTTTTGAGGTTAGTGCTATGTACTACCCTGGGAGAACTCCAGCCATACAGCTCTCCTTCAGACAAGCATAGTGGAGGTTACAATCTCTCTGTCCTGGAGGGAAGGTGCAGCCTGCAAAACGTTCTAATGCCCCCTAGTGACTAGTCATGAACTAGTTAGGCCCTGCAGTTGCTGGCACTACTCCACTGAATGCAGGGTGGCTGCTGCTGAGGGCTGTGAAAGAGGAGATTTTCCGGGGCGGGGGTGGGCGGGGAGTAGCCCAATCTAAAGAGGTGGTTGAAAGCCTCTGGACCGGGTCATTAATTCAGAGAAAGAAAGCTTCCCTTGTTGGGCTGATGAGAAAAGGGAAGAGTCTTCACTCGGATTCTGTCATGCTGCTGCTCTAGATTGCCAGTGAGTTGGGAATCATGGTTGAAAAGAATAGGCCAAGATTTCAAGAGTGACTGGTGATTTTGGCTGCCGCTGTTTTTTGCTGCACAACTCTCAAGCCTCTGAAGGGGCCTGTAGGTCAGAATGTGCTGAGCACCTGGCTCCCCAGTACTGAGACGCTTAACATTACTGGTCGCTTTTGAAAATCTTGGCTGTGGTGGCTGACCATCTCCCTTGTGTGCCTGACCTTGAGGCAAACTTGCTGTGCAGGCTATTTGCTCTGTTGGTTATTGGGGGCAGGGGTGTATGAAGCAGTAGTCAGTCTACTTCAGTTTTCATCTCCCAAGTAAGAAATAGTTGGGACAAATTAGTCCCTGGTGTGACTGTACTCAAGTAATTTTGGCTATTAATGTTTTAGACATCATTTACCTGACAGTCTGGAAGGATTCTGTTCGGGGAAGGCCTTACTGAGATGCTACAGAGGGACCCTTTAGGACAAACAAGGAAGGGCAACTGCTCATCACTAGCTTTGGGTGATCAGTACTGGGGTGCGTGAAACTGTACAGAGGCAGATTCAGACCCGAACAGAGAGGAATCTCAGAGGGAAGTGACACAAGGAAAGGCAGACCCATCTTGTGGGTTAGAGGAAGGCAAGAGTGATAACTCTGTTCAGTTCATCATTTTAGAAGGTGCTTGGATACCGTAGTGATGGAAGCTGTATCTCAACTTAGATAGGCCAAAAAGGGAGTCCTGGGCCTGTCCCTGAAACTAAAAGGAGTCTAGAGAGAGGAGAAACTATCATACTAAGCATTACAAAAAAACTGAACTGAACTGCTGTTTAGAAATTCATATGTAATAAGGCATCCATTAGCTTAGCCTTAGTGTCTAGGAACTAATCTTCCCAGGTGAGGTTTTACCAGATCCAGGATGATGCACCTAAGGAACTCTACTTAGCGGAGAACATGGGCGGTGGGTATCGAAGGCCAGGGCAGGCTAAGCGTCCCCTGACCTAGGCCATGGCCCTGCTCACTCTCCATCCCAAGGCCCTGTTCTTCCTTCCACTCTACCCTTAAGCTGGCAGGGGTGCGCGGTTCCTGCCAGCAGGCTGGAGTTTGGGCCCACCAGGGGCAGCCTGGGGCGGGCAGTCAGGCCAGGCCACAGCTGAGGCCGGGGTGGGGGTGTTTGGTCGGGCTAGCGGGTCGGGCTTCCACCGGCATTAAAAAGGTTAATTGTGACTAAATGAATAGTACAATTATTATTAAAAATAAGAAGGAAGGAATGCGAGCCAAAATAGAAAAAGAACAGGTTAAAGAATATTTAGATAAGTTAGATATATTCAAGTTAGCAGGATCTGATGAAATTCACTCTAGGGTATTTTAAGAACTGGCTGAAGCAAACTCAAAGCCATTAACAATTACGTTTGAGTATGCATGAGGTCACAGAGGACTGGAGCTGGGCAAACACATTACTTATTTTTAGAAAGGTGAACAAAGAGGATGTGGGGAATTATAAACCGGTCAGCCTAATTTCCAAATACCAACTGATAATAGCGTGAGAAGTAATAACCAATGGATTTGTCAAGAACAAATCATGCCAGACCAACCTAATTTCCTTCTTTGACAGGGTTAATAGGTTAATGGTTGGGGAGAAGCTGTAGACATATCTTGATTTTAGTAGGACTTTGATACAGTCTCACATGACATTCTCATAAGCAAACTAGCGAAATGTGGTGCAGATGAAATTACTATAAGGTTGGTGCACAACTGGTTGAAGACCTTACTTCAAAGAGTATTTAAGAATTGTTTGCTGTCAGATTTAGAGGGCGTAACTAATGGGGTCCTGGAGGGGTCTGTCCCGAGTCCAGTACTGTTCGACATTTTCATTAATAACTTGGATAATGGAGTGGAGAGTGTACCTATAGAATGTGTGGATGACTCCAACCTGAGAGAGGTTGCAAGCACTTTGGAGGACAGGATTAGAGTTCAAAATGACCTTGACAAATTGGAGAATTCGTCTGAAATTAGTAAGATGAAATTCAGTAAAGGCAAGTAAAAAGTACTGCATTTATGAATGGAAAATCAAATGCACAACTGCAAAATGGGGAATAATTGGCTAAGCAGTAGTACTGTTGAAAAGGATCTGGGGGGTATAATTAAGTATGAGTCAACAATGTGATGAAGTTGCAAAAAAGGCTAATATCATTCTGCAATATATTAACAGGACACAGGAGTGTTGAATGTAAGGTAATCGTCCTGCTCTACTCATTGGTGAAGCCTCAGCTGAAGTATTGTGTCTAATTCTGGACTCTACACTTTAAAGAAAATATGTGAGCAAATTGGAGAGCGTCCAGAGGAAAGCAACACAAATGATAAAAAGTTTGGAAAACCTGCCTATGAGGAAAAGTTAAAAAAACTGGACATGTTTAATCTTGAGACAAGATGACTATGGAGGAGGCAAGGTGGGGGAGAACCTGATAACATTCTTCAGCTATGTGAAGGGCTGTTATGAAGAGGATGGTCACCAAGTGACTAGGGAGGTGGTAGAATCTCCTTCCTTAGAGGTTTTTAAGGTCAGGCTTGACAAAGCCCTGGCTGGGATGATTTAACTGGGAATTGGTCCTGCTTCGAGCAGGGGGTTGGACTAGATGACCTTCTGGGGTCCCTTCCAACCCTTATATTCTATGATTCTATGATTCTAAGTGTTCTCAATGTCCACTGAAGGAAGGACAAGAAGTAATGGACTTAATCTGCAGCAAAGGAGATTTAGGTTAGATACTAGGAAAAACTTTCTAACAATCAGGATAGTTAAGCTCTGGAACAGGCTTCCAAGGGAGGTTGTGGAATTCTCATCGCTGGAGGTTTTTAAGAACAGGTTGGACAAACCCCTGTCAGGGATGGTCTAGGTTTACATGGTCCTGCCTCAGTGCAGGGGACTGGACTAGATGACCTCTCAGTGTTCCTTCCAGTCCTACATTTCTGTGACTCTGAGATGATCAAAGAAAAGGGGGTGCCTGATTTATTGCAGGCTGTGAAGTACCCAAGAATAATTCTGACTTTGAAATGCTGATTAAAATATTGTATAATATGTTGTTCCACAGCCTTGTCACAACAGTATTGGATGAAATGCTGTTTCCCTGGGTTTAAGCACAGAAAAAAATATCTAAGGACTACAGAAATAGAAACCCCTCTCTGAAGCATTATATAATAGTCTTTTGCTTAAAAAATGAAATAAAAAAAGCCAGTGGTAGTACACACTACAGAGGATATTCGGTTACTACTTTATTTATCCCTACTAATGTGACATCTGAAAACTGTTTTCAAAGTCCACTCATTTAGTGCTTGATTGTGGCTTTGCCCCCAGCTTTGAGTAAGGGGCAGCATGTACGTGTCCTGCCCAAGGAGCAGACCAGGGACAAGGGAGTCACAGGCTGGTCCTTTATACCCCTCTATTTCTGGGGGAAAGGATAATCAGTAATGGCTTTATAGCTGGCACAGATTATACTCCCCATCCATGCTGGCTCAGCATGTTGGGGGTCAGGGGTAGGACCAAGGCTCCACCCATCTGCATTGGAGAGGTCGTAGAACCCCAAACAGGCTACTGTCTCCCTCATACAGTCACCTGCAATAAAGGTGTCCTGCACGTGGTTGTAAGGGGGTGCCTTATCCCCTTTCTGCCCTGTGTGGGCATGTCAAGGAGATTGCAATCTGGCCCTTAACAAGAGTAACCGAACAGTATTCAGACAAGAAAATGGATTTACTTTAATAGCTTAGTGTGGTTCTTCAGTCCCTAAAAGTTACTATGTAAAAACAGCATCACGTCACTCCATGTTTATTCTATTCATATTCACCAAGTAGTTTGGCCAAATAACTTTCAGGCTATTATTGACTATTCGTGACCTGTTCACTTTGACCACTTGCAATTTGTGTTGTGTGACTGTTCATCAATGTCATGTGATATTTTTCTGCTTCTTGATTGGCTAACTGAAATCTTTTAAAGGCCTGATCCTGAACACATTTACTCATGTAAGCAACGTCTCTTACCCAAGCAATCCCGCTGTCTTCAATAGGACTATTCACATGCAAAAAGTTATTCACATGCATGTATGTTGGCAACGCTGGTACCTAATTAGCAAATAACACATTCCTGGTATGAATTATTGGGCAAATTACCTCTTGTGCTAAAACTTGTGTAACTTTCTGGAATCTCAAACATTATGGACAAATACCTCCCTGTTGTCCTAGTATTCATAATAAATAGTATGTCCCCACAAAACCTAAATGATGTTTTTATTTGCAATGATGTTTGTTGATAATTTTGTTTATTACAGGTTCAGCTCTTCTGACCTGTAATATGGACATAAAGAGCAACATGAAATTGAAGGGATACATATTTAGAACAAATGAAAGGAAATGTTATCGTACGTGGTATATAGCTGTCTTGTGGAATTCAGTTCCATAGGACGTAATTGGGTTACATGCTGCATTGTTGCATTTTAAAAGAGTTAGTTTATAACCACTAATAACATTTGTGGCTATGTGAACTCAGATAATGAAAAAGATAATCAAATCTCATGCTTTAGGGCATAAGCAGATATCTCCAGGGGTCATGGGGAGATTTCTCCCATGTGTGGGATTGGATAATTGGTTGGCATGTGTGTGGGTGGATGGGTATGGCAGGAGGGTAGGGTTACCTTTGCTCAGAAACAGCATGCTTTGGCATCCTGCTGGAGGCAGGAGAATGGACTGGGCAAGCTTATTAAAATAATATTTTTAGGAATCCTAATACCTAATGAAGGGCAGGTTTCAATTCTTCTCAATCAGTTGTCTTTCTACATTGACTGGCCTGGGAACTAGATTATTAACCGATTACATGAATCCCTATCTGCTCCTCAGTGGATAAGTGCTTAGTTGATGATGTACATAGATGGATTTTGCCTTCTACACCTTTTGAATGCCCTTTCTTTACTTTTCACTGTGCATTAACCCTTACACTCCCGCTCTCTCTTTCTAAAATAAAATATTTATATATATTTAACCCATTGACAGGGTCAAACTGTCAAAGGATCTTATCTCAGTTTCAAATTGTGTAGGTGACAAACTGTGCCTGCAAGCATTTACGTGCACATTTCTGAGCATATCACCTGCTTGTTATGGCAACGCTAGCACTTGTACAGGCGGGTGACCGAAGTAATGTGTACAAATTCCATTTTGTGCTTAGTTAATGCTCAAAAAATGTGGACACAACTACATGAGCAAATGGAAGTTGGCTCTTAATGTTTTTCCTCACATACTTCAATTACCTTTAATAGCATGTACTTACAATCAAGCTGTCCCTTTCATTGTAAGCTGTCCTCTCTTCCACACCCCTGCCCCCTGTACCTCGTCATCTCTAAATTCTCCTACTGTTGTTTACCAGCTCTTCTTTTTCAGCTAAAGCTTTTGGCTAGGAATATGCATGACACAGGTGGGTTTAGGTTCTTCCTGGACACTCACAATCTCCTAGCCTTCTACCCCTGTTTGTTAACTCTTCTTCACACAGCCAATCTTTCTCTACCTGGATAACCAGTTCAATGACATCTTTCACATTTTGGGGGCTTTCCTGTCAGACATATCCCAGTGTGCATTGTATGTCAGGTGAGAGAGCCCCAGAGGTATGTATGATTTTTGAAAATTGGAAGTTGAGTCCTACTGAGGCAAATAGGAAGAAGCATAAACTCTGGCAAGTCAAGTGTAAAAGTATAATTAGGCTGGCCAAAAAAGAATTTGAAGAGCAACTAGCAAAAGACACAAACTAACAGCAATTTTTTTTATGTACAGCAGAGGCAGGAAGCCTACCAAACAATCAGTGGGGCCATTAGATGACTGAGGTGCTCAAGGAGCAATCAAGGTAGACCATGCCATTGTGGAGAGGTTAAGTCTTTGCAGCTGTCTGCAGAGGATCTGAGGAAGATTCCCATACCTGACCCATTCTTTTTGAGGTGACAAATCTGAGGAACTGTCCCAGATTGAGGTGTCAGTAGAAGAGGTTTCATAACAAATTGATACATTAAACACAATAAGTCACCAGGACCAGTTCTGGAGGAACTCAGTTAAGAAGTTGCAGAACTACTAACTGTGGTATGTAATCTATCACTTAAATCAGCCTCTGTATTAGATGACTGTAGGATAGCTAATGTGATGTTGATGTTTTAAAAAGGCTTCAGAGGCGATCCTGGCAATTACAAGCAGGTACGCCTAACTTCAGAACTAGACAAATTGGTTGAAACTATAGGAAAGAACAGAATTATCAGTCACATAGATGAATACGATATGTTGGGGAAGAGTCAACAAGGTTTTAGTAAAGGGAAATCATGCCTCACCAATCTATTAGAATTTTTAGAGGGGGTCAACAAACATGTGGACAAGGGTGATACAATTGTTATAATGTACTTGGACTTTCAGAAGGCCTTTGACAAAGTCCCTCACCAAAGGCTCTTAAACTAAGCTGTCATAGGATAAGAGGGAAGGTCATCTCATGGTTCATTAACAGGTCGAAATATAGGAAACAAAGGGTAGAAATAAACAGACAGTTTTCACAGTGGTGAGAGGTTACCAGCAATGCCCCCAAGGATCTATACTGGAACCAGTGCTGTTCAACATATTCATAAATGATCTGGAAAAAAGGGTAAACAGTGAGGTGGCAGTTTGCAGATGATACAAAATTACTCAAGAGTGTTAAATCCAATGCACATTGTGAAGAATTACAAAGGATCTCACGAAAGTGGGTGACTGGGCAAGAAAATTGTAGATGAAATTCAACGTTGATAAATGCAAAGTATGCACATTGGAAACATAATCCCAACTATGCATACAAAATGATGGGGTTTAAATGAGCTGTTACTGCTTAAGAAACAGATCTTGAAGTCATCATGACTATTTCTCTGAAAACATCTGCTCAATGTACAGCAGCAGTCCAAAAGCTAATAAAATGTTTAGAACCATTAGGAAAGGGATAGATAATAAAACAGAAAATTTCATAATGCCTCTATATAAATCCATCGTACGCCCACACCTTGAATGCTGCATGCAGTTCTGGTCAGCCCATCTGAAAAAAAGATGTATTAGATTTGGAAAAAGTACAGAGAAAAGCAACAAAAATTATGAGGGGTATGGAACAGCTACCGTATGAGATTAAAACGACTGGGGCTGTTCAGCTTGGAAAAGAGGTGACTGAGGAGAGATATGATAGAGGTCTATATAATCATGAATGGTGTGGAGAAAGTGAATAAGGAAGTGTTATTTACCCCTTCATATAACACAAGAACCAGGAGTTACCCAATGAAATTAATAGGCAGCAGGTTTAAAACAAACATAAGTAAGTACTTCTTCATACAATGCACAATCAACCTGTGGAACTCCTTGCCATGGGATATTGTGAAGGCCAAAAGTATAACTGGGTTCAAAAAAGAATTAGGTAAATTTATGGAGGATAGGTCCATCAATGGCTATTTGCCAAGATAGTCAGGGATGCATACTCTGGGTGTTCCTAAACGTGTGACTGCCAGAAGCTG